ATCCCAGCTGAGTTCTCTGTTGCATCCAGGCAGAGCAGAACACATACGGAGTATGTAAATGATGAGAGCTATACCAAATCCTACACCCGCTACGAGAGGGGGCTTCATAGTATCATCTCGAACAGGTAGGCCGCACATGGTCGCCGAGCCATTCTTAGTTTCTAGCGCAGCATCAATACGAGTCAGTCAAATCCTCCCCTTTGTGATGCTGAGAATATGCCTTGTACGGTCTCAAAGCTAAAGCAAGGCAGAGGCACTTACTGAGGGCATCCTCATAGTTGCATCCCTGCAACACGCAGACAGAGAGATTGGCATTGAGTTCCTCGTTGGTGCAAAGACACGCAGTGTCCGTAAGCTGGCAACCCGACGTCGGGACAAGCTTGGTGAGACAGACGAGCTGTAGTCGGGAAAAGATGGGGATGCCGCACTGATCAGCCAAAAAAATTGCCACCGTCTTGACGCTAAGCGCGGGAGATCCGCTCACTATTCAATACTTACTGCGCATTCCGGGTATAGCTTCTGAGCCATGGCCAACGCTTCCGCAGCTGTAGTCGCGGCTTGGGCCGTTGAAGAGAAGGCCGCGAGGGCTGCGGCCGTGGCCGCCAGCATGCCTGAAAGCTTCATGGCGACCGATATTGTGAAGGGGGGATGTCGTACGAGAGAGCAAGAAAGGATGGGGAAGAGAAGCGCGAGCGGGATTCCGGGTTTCCTTTTCAAGTATGTAAATCGTAGCCGAGAGAGACGGAGTTCCCTAGACCGGATTTAGAGAAGAGGAAGAAGGGGGTGTTACTTTTAACCTCATATCGTGACTTGCGTGCCATCCTTCCTCCGCCTGTCAAGTTCATCACATAGATGGCGGCATCTACCGTGATCCTTGGCTCTCGGGTCCGTCTCTCTCTAGGATTCTGTCCCTGGATTTCTTCATTCTGGAGTCGCTCTGAAGTGGGCGAGTCATTTCTGCGTTGCCTTGTAGCCGACGATCTTGCTTTGGATCGTCGTCGAACCCCTGGTGTAGTTGAGAAGGAAAATTCCGTAAGAAGACTGAGGAGACTTGGATGTGGCCTGCGCCGGATGCAGATGCCGGTCAAAACGGTTCGCTAGAGTCCTTGACCAGCAAACTTACGAGTAAACTTTCCGAAAAGAGTGGTCCGATTTCTTAGCGGCGGCAGTTGAGCTAACTTGGCTACGTAAAAGCCAAATCTCTTCATCTCTCCATCACCCGCCTGTCGACGTCCAAACCGTTGAGCTCAGTCCCAAAGCGGTTAAATTATCACGAATGGAGGAAGAGAGGGGTTCGCGAGTGGCCAATGAACCGCAGGGGATCGCTAACATGCTTTTCGTTATTCCTGGTATTCTGTATATGCACTGCAACAGCAGTAAGAGTGAGATCAACGGTTCTTTAGACCAGGGCCAACCCGACAACAAGGAGGCGGTAAGTGTTTGCGCGCCTGATCTATCTGCTCTGTCTCCAGTCTGTCTCCCGTCTGTCGTTCGTTGCGTGAATCGTAGTGGCATCGAAGCAATGGGCCCCTCTAGAATCTCCATACCCGTCGTCCAAAGAGCGTTCGGACAATGGGGCCAAGTGTAGGGCTATCGTTTCTCAATTCGTGACCCCTGGCTGTGGATGTGTCCACGTCGGATTGTGCTCGCTCAGCAAGGTTCTGCCATGCTTGTTCTGTTGGACAGTTGCTTGTCGTAGAGCTCCATTGGTGTGGGCAGCAATTTTCCCCATTGGCGGAGCAGGATCCGGGGGTGGTGTTTTGACGTTTGACAGGGCCCATGTTTTCTTTCATTTCGTCTACGACCCTGGTTGAATCCTCGACAGGCATGCCAAAGAGTCGTCGGCGCCAATGCAACCTCGAGTTAGGAAAGGAAACTGGCAGATCAAAGCATCTTCTCCCCATGTCTCACTTCTCGTGCCCCCTTCATGAGCGTGCCGGCTTCACGGGAGATAATGCCTCTCATCACATCAGCATCGCCAATCAGTGGAGATGCGTTCGAAATGAGTCCGAAAAGGAGCGTTCTCATGAACCCATACTTAACGTTTGAGGTTCTGACTTTTTGAGTCGCTTCGCCTGTCTTGGTTCCACCAACTCTTAGCCATTTGGCAGTAGTCATTCCTTTGCATCTCAACAAACTCGCCACCCAGTCACTCATTCATCGTGTTTTTGCTTTCGGTTGCGTTTCAGTCACCTTCATTGGATGTTACCATGAAGTTCCTTTTCTCTGTTGCGGCGCTTTTCGCGGCTGCCCATGCGGCGTAAGTTCTCACACTTAGTCTTAGTCAATACCTACACGCTTATCGTGCGAATCATCGGCTTACACAAACCAGCTTCGATCAACCCCTTGGTCCAACCCTGAATGCCACGGGACCTACAGACAACTCGACGTATGACTACGTCGTAGTCGGCTCCGGGCCGGGCGGTGCTCCCCTCGCTGCCCGCCTGGCCATGACCGGCTTCAGTGTCCTGCTCATCGACGCCGGTGAGGATCGAGGCGAAGACCCGGCCGTCCAGGTTCCGGCTTTGCACGTTCTGGCTTCTCAACATCAGCCGATCGCGTGGGATTTCTTCGTCAACCACTACTCTGATCCGGAGCAGGCCAAGAGGGACAGCAAGATGTCGTATCGAAAGCCGGATGGAGAGATCTATGTTGGTCTCGACCCGCCAGAGGGGTCTGAGCAGTTGGGAATCTTGTATCCTCGTGTCGGCGCCCTCGGTGGTTGCTCACAGGTAAGTCGTCTCGACGTAGGCTAGTGTTCCATTAGCTGACAATCTCAAAAGCACAATGCTCTTGTCACCATTCTGCCTCAGGATAGCGACTGGGACAACATTGCGGCCATCACTGGTGACAGCTCGTGGGAGGTGAGTAATTACCGACTTCCTCGGCGATGGCTGGAAAATGCTGACGGTAATGGCTTCCGAAGGCTTCCAAGATGCGAGAGTACTACAAGAAGCTCGAAAAGTGTCACTACCTCCCCGGCGGCCTCGACAGCTCCGTGCACGGCTACGACGGATGGCTAGAGACTCAAACTACTCCGCCGATTCTCATCGTTCAAGACCAAAAGGTGCTGTCTCTGGTTCTCGCTGCTGCCACCACGATGGGCAAGTCACTTCTCGGCAAGGTGATCAACACCGTCACAGGCCTCCTCGAGATCTTGGCCGTCGACGTCAACAACGACTCACCCGACCGTGACAATGGAGAGAAGATCTACCAGATTCCCCTCTCCATGAAGGACCCTTCCTTCACTCGTTCATCCCCTCGTGACTTCATATTCGACGTTGTCACCGCGACCAACGAGGACGGATCCAAGAAGTACAAGTTGGATGTGGCTCTCAACACGCTCGTTACCAAGGTCAACTTTGACACGACGGGCGAGAAGCCCAAGGCAACTGGCGTTGAGTACCTCGTCGGCAAGAGCCTGTACCGTGCCGATCCCAGAGCCACCAAGGAGGACGGCGGCGTCCCCGGACGTGTGTTCGCTAGCAAGGAAGTCATCGTGTCCGCGGGAACCTTCAACACCCCTCAGCTGCTTAAGCTTAGTGGTATCGGCCCTGCCTCCGAACTTGAATCCTTTGATATCCCTGTGGTCAAAGACCTCCCTGGTGTCGGCGGCAACATGCAGGACCGGTACGAAGTCGGCATCGTGGGCAAGGCGCCCACCGACTTCTCCCTCCTCGAGAAGTGCACCTTCCTCGACATGAACGGCACGCACAACGGCGAGGACCCCTGCTTCTCTCAGTGGCAGTCGGGCATCGGCGGCCTAAAGGGCGGCTACACGACCAACGGCATTGCTTTCGGGTACTTCAAGCACTCTTCCGTCGCGGAGAATGGCAATCCGGACCTCTTCCTCGGTGGTGTACCGGCCTACTTCAACGGTTACTTCCCCAATTATGCCGAGCACGCCCTCGCCGACCTCAGCGTCTGGACCTGGCTTACCCTCAAGGGCCACAGCCGTAATAACGCCGGCGTAGTCAACCTGACGAGCACCAACCCGCGCGACACGCCCAACATCACCTTCCACAGCCTTTTCGAGGGCATCGGTGGCGAGGAAGATCTTCAGGCTGTGTACGAGGGAATGCAGTACGGCATCGAGGCGTTTGAGAACCTGATCCCGCTTGATGGCTCGTTTGAACGCATCTGGCCACCCAAGGAGATCTCATCTGAGGCTGACCTTAAGCAATTTGCCAAAGATGAGGCCTGGGGTCATCATGCTAGCTGCACTGCGCCTATTGGTGCCGATGACGATCCGCTTGCTGTCCTGGATTCTAACTTCAAGGTTCGTGGGGTTGACGGATTGCGCGTGGTCGATGCCTCCATCTTCCCCAAGATTCCCGGGTTCTATATCGTTCTCGGTATCTACATGGCGAGTGAGAAGGCCGCTGATGTGATCATCGCTGAGGCACAAGCGGCGTAGTTTGTCAAAGTTCGCCATTATTGGACGTTGACGGTAACCAGGGTCCAGATTTCCTAATAGCATCATGTTCTATGATGTGCATAATACTACAGCCGGATTCTGATTCATTGATCTCTTGAAAGCCGGACAAAGCATATAAGCTAACTGTGAAAATGCCTCATTATTTGCTGTAGATCTTGTAAAAGTGCGTTTTTCTTGGAGCTCAGTTGATGTACCTGAGACAAGGGTCAGCCGCGAATGAAGCCGAGAAGCCAGCTACCTTCATCCCGTCTTCCTTGTCAGACATCTGACGCAGCTTAAAGGCATCCTATAGGCCATTTCTCAAAGACCCCTTTCAGGTCTTGGCGTTGAAAGGGTGAAGACGGTCAGCCGCCTGCCCTCACAAGCGTCTCTTTCAGACATACTGACCTCAGCTAGAAGCACCTAAGCATTTCGGAAGCGCCGGTCTTGAGACCTCAACTTTTTAGGTAGACTTCTCAGAGGCATATATCAAGCCCGTCTCCTTCCAGGCCCCTAGAGCTGCTTGTCTCTGTACCAAGCACAATAGCAAGATCAGTCGAAAGTTGGCATTGGCTTCAGAAAGATGGTTCCCCGATCCGAAGCCTCAGCCAATTCATTGAAGGAGGACAACCGCTGGTGCCTACGATGCCTCGGTTTCTACACTGGCGTCTATCCCAGGAAGCAAAAGCCGGTCGCGAACTACTATTGTAAAAGAAACCGTGAGTGGCGTTAAGTACCTTTCTCATTCACGATTTTCTTACTTACGTTTCATCGTTCTAGTTATGAAATGCGCCAGATGTGCCGAGGATAAGGATAAACGCTGTCTCATGGTAGGAGTTTGTTTCTTGGTGGAGGCTGTGGGATGCTGAATTCCATCTAGATTCAGAAGGAGCAGTGGCCCGAAACTCTGGAGATCATTGAGAAGACCAGGCAAATCATTTTGGCAGAACAGGCTGATGGCGAGAGCGAGAAGTTCGCCGGGGTAAGTTCAATGCAGAAAGTTGGGTTGTCTTCCGAAACATTTGCTGATAATGACATGCCAGGACCGGAAAGCCATCAAAGACCTATATCGACATGTTGAAAGAGTGACCAGGGCTTACCACAACACACAACTGCAAGACGATCATCAATCAGCGGCTTCGGATGAGGACACTCCAATGGCCTACAACACGGCGTCTGACGATGAAGTGATGGGCGAGATTCGGTGCGCCCCGAGCTTTGCAGGACCGAGTCGGAGCGGCCGTTCCTCCAACACAGCTGGCCTAAGGGTCTCGAAGGTATTGGTTGATATCAAAAGAATCGACGAGGAAAAGGCAGAAGCCTCACGCCGCCTGGGAAGAGAAGTCTGGATTGCGGCACGGGACCCGCAAGCAATCGGGCCTTCTGACCAATTTCTTCGGCTCGTGGTTGATGAGCTGCACCGTGACGCTCGTCAGGGCGATGCTCGGCACGGTATCTCTGACGCTTTCAAGGCTGTTGACAACGCTCACGATGCCCGGGAGGACGCCTTCCGCCGGCTAGGAGACCTGGCTCTCGCCATCATGCCGGCCAGCTCCACGCTTGAGGGCAGGGGTTCGTCGGGATCGGGCCGAGCCTCCAATTCTCGTCATTGATCTTGCAAGAAGGGAAGGGCCAGAAGCAACTTGATAGTAGTGAAGGAGGCTAGACCATGTTTTGAGATTTGACGTTGATAGAATCTTTCGAGCGGTCCGTGGTTATCAAATTGATTGGAGCTGTCAAAGTGAATATGTGAGGATGGAATTGGCTTTGGTTGGCGGTACTTTAATTATGCACCAACAAGACCCCTGTCGTTAGCAAGCATCGAGCCCAGCTAAGACCAAAGGACTTGCAATCTGCACCTGTGTATATTGCATCAACAGCCGCAGAGGTGCGGTTCGCTGTGAAGTTGTGAACCAGTGCTGGGAACCAGATGAATGTCTAGATCAATGCTAAGGAGAATTGATCTGCTCCATGTCGTGTCGTGTCTTGCGCTGCTGCTGCCAAGAATTCCCCACGGAGGGTTTGGTCCGTAGTTCAGCCACATCACATGTAGCCACAGGGAAGTCAAGCTCCCGCCACAGCACTACGTCATACAGCCATCACCGAACCAAAGCGAGGGAGCTAGCTCTACGTACCTCAGCTGCCATAGGTAAGGTAGCTTGCCTTTGGCAGGCACGCAGGAGTCAGATCACGATCCTCGGGCTAAATAAATACGCCAGAGCTGTGCCTTGGCCAAGCCACGTCGCAAACACTCTCTCCCAGCTTCCCCATCTTTACGTCGGTCCGTCTACCAGTACCAACTTACTTTACGAAAGCCTTCTCTGCAACTTCAGACGACACCCCGACGAAAACTATCCCATCATGTCTGACGAACGAACTGTTTCCCAGGGCCAGGCTTCCAGCTCCGGCGGAAGGAACAGGATGGTCGACTCTGTGCAAACCAAGGCCCAGGAAGTCCTGTTCGTATTGTCCACCATCTCGCGTGCTCGCGCCCCAATCTAACATACGTATGACAGGCAAGAGGACTACGACAAGGCGAGAGGTTTGGTCGCCGATGCTGCCAAGAGCAAGGCCTACCTGTACCCCATCAAGGGCATCATCTACTTCGCAACCCACCGAACACTGTGGAAGCCCCTCCTGTCACGCATCGGATCCTACCTGCTCCTATCTGCCGGTGTCGTCACTGGCATGTTCGTCTTCACCTACGTGCCACAACTTGCTCTCCTCGTTTTCGTGAACGGCCCGCTAGCCGTCTTCACCACCGTCCTTTTGATTCTGAACGAGAGTTCGGCAATCATCAACTTCCTCTCGCGATCATTCCTGCTCCAGGACGCGATTCTAGACACCTTTGACGGCACTCTTCTTCTCAGAGATGAGGACGGAATTGTGAGGGAAGGCAGACAGCTCAGGCCCGGATCTGACCCCATGCAGAAGCTGGGCAAGGTTCTCAAGAGTCCCTTTGAGAAATACAGTCCCAAGGCACTCATCAGATACCTCATCTACCTGCCCCTGAACTTCATTCCTGTCGTGGGAACCGTCATCTTTATCTCTCTGCAGGGTGAGTCTTGCCGGCCGCTTCCGTGTATTTCACAGCTAACGTTTCTGCAGCTCGCAGCAGAGGTCAAGCCGTCCACGGCCGTGTATGTTTCTTCCTTTCCATATTCCGGATATCGTGCTGACAATCCAACCCAGTACTTCCAACTCAAGAACTGGTCGTCTTCCAGAAGAGCCGACTGGCTGAAAAGACACGCCGGGCCTTACACTGCGTACGTTTGGGATCCACCCGCGCATGTATTGTGTGCATTTGGCTGACTTCTGTCACAGCTTCGGCCTAGTTGCAACCGCCCTTGAGATGATCCCCTTCGCTAGCGTTCTCTTCACATTCACAAATGCAGGTATGTTTGGCAAGGATTGGACTTTCGCCTTGAGTAACTACTGACGCTTATCTATAGTCGGCGCTGCTCTTTGGGCCGCCGATATCGAGGCCAAGGATACTTCCATGACGGATAGCACCGCACCCACGCTTCGAGAGACGGCACAAAAGGCCGAGTAAACGACGGACGTCTGCGTCTGGGAGTCATACCTTTGACTTTTACGGCGGGATCGGCTTGGCACTAGGAGATACCGACCCCTCTTTTGACCGGATCCCCGTGCCACAGCATCTTGACAGCAGTGACGGATCTAGTGCGACAAGAGCCGAAGCTTTCAGCTGAAGAGCACTCGTAACTCTTGGCGAGACGGCGTTGTTCGACACGCTAAGCAAAGTCGGCGAAGCGTAATTCTGGTAACAGTCGACGGAGCAGTGTGTTTTGGCCCCGACGAACATGAGAAGAAGGAACTTTTACCGTAATAATTAATTTACGAATCACAACTCTGCGCATCACGATATCCTTGATGTACCACTCTTCAGGTCTTGCCCTGATTTCGTCTGCCGCAACGTGTTTCAGACACTGCAGCACCGGCTTTGTCATTTTTCGCCGACGACCAGCTAGACGATCGCTCTTCAAATCGAGACGTTCGCCACCTGATACGGCACATTGACAGGTGTTCCGGCGAAGCAGTCCATGCTACTAATCAAGCGAGACTCACCTGGGCCTAACATAAACAAAACGAGTAGGACAAGACATCGCGAGCCCCCGCTCCGAGCCTTCCATTATGGCGTACTACTTGCTTCAGGAACAGGTAATCTTGTTTCAAGGTACACGGGTAGCTGCATGACACGCACTGTCAAAGATTGGCTTTTGCAACTACAACTGGTTGCAATCGTGTCCCGCACTAGGGGATGGTCAAGATGGGACAAGACTCGGTGCAAACTTATCGGTTCTGCCGGAGAGGCCGCTCGAGTCTCGCCGACCAGTGGCTTTCTGGTAGGTCACTAGTAGGTGTTCCTTGGTGAGTGCAACCACCTCGGGATAACGTCCCGTGTCTGTGACTACCACCATACCACGCTGTGCTTGATGACTTGCGAGTGGATGTCACGATGCGTGCTCTTCGGTGATATCCTGATCAGGAACTGATTCAGATTCGCAGGGGCGAGACTGGTGATGCAGCAACTCTCCATCAGCATCGACTTTCAGTACCAGATGGATGCCGCAGACAGAGTACCGAACGTGAAGTCCATCCCTCTTCTCGTTTCACCAATACGGATGTAGGGCCTCAATGTGGATGATGACCGCGAGCTGATCATTATACTGCCAGATCGTACCTGTGTGTTGTGTCGAGCTCGGCTCGGGGGTCGCATAGCAGTTGGGTATCTTTCTCTTGTGACCACCTGGTTAGCCTCGAGTACAAGCTGCTCTATTCTTCGCAATCTTCTGACATTGTGCTAAAGAAGAATTCCAATATAGGAAAGGTTGTATCTTCCACAGCTCCCCACCAAACTAGGCCACAGAGCTGAATGATAATCCGGCTGCCTCTCTTCGGCCCGCTTCAGCAACTGATTCCGGTTCATGGCAAGACTGAATGAAGTGGGAGCATTCGAGCCCTGTAGTAATCAGAAGGTATCTTGCAAGATTAGGCATTCCCGAAAGATATGGAACTTGCTGTGAAATTGAAAGGAAGGAGAAGCATGTGTAAGCCAGTTGGTGGTATTACCTTCCCGGCATCACACCTTCCTTTCATTAGGCAAGTCGTGAGCTCTTTCCTGCTATAATTGTGTCGTCCCCTTCTTCAGATACTTGCACATACAAAGTTTTTCTCCCGTTCTCCCACCTCGGTTTTCCCCCCTTCCCTTCTCTCTCGCTCTTTCCCCCTTCTTCGTTTCTTCTCCTGTGCCCATCCCCAGTCGCTCGAATACGAGTGAGCCGGCTTTCACTCGTTCACTTCTACTAGTATCCCCGACTTTCGTTTGTTTGAATACTCCTAGCATCAGTGGCTCGCCAGGTATGATCGTCAACCATATTGTGTGCTACGAACTTTGTACTGAGGCCGCTTCAGAAGAAACTCCGAATATGCGAGCCTCTCATCTCACTGTCGTCTTGGTGACGGTAGTCGGTCTGCAATTCTTTGCTACAGGCGTGACAGCTTCCGCCAATGCCGATGACCTCAAGCAGCGGGACAAAGTCGAGTCCCCCGCCGCTGCCCTCAAAGTCGAACATCACGCGAGGAGCCCTCAAGATCTCGATGCATTCACCAGCTACGACTATGGATACACCTATCCGCCGCCTCCCTCTCCCACCTCTTACGGTGACCAGCCGCCGTCGACCGTGATATCCTCTGCTAATAGTGCTCATGGTCAGTCGATTATGTATTTCGGATACTGCTCTCAGACTGACATGCGTAGTATCTTCAACTGAAGTCGGCTCGGTCGCCAGCGACTCCAGCACATATGGCGTCTCTGACTCTGTTACTCTGAGCTTAACTGTCTCTGCTGGAGCTACCACCACTCTGTCCAATGCCGTCACGTACCCCCCCAGTTCTGATAGTACTTCAAGTACTGCATCTTCAAAGGTGGCTAGCACCATTGTGACATTGATTTCATCCAGCTCCATCGCTTCAAGTGTATCATCATCACTTTTAACAGAGTCGACTCTTTGGCCGCCAGCCAACACTTCGACCAGAACCGCAACGTCATCCATTTTTGCAACGTCACTGAGCGCCAACCAGACAGCTTCTTCGGAGACCATATCTGGCACTTTTGCCTCCGCGTCCGAAGTCAATAACGGCACGGCCGTATCCTCGACTGGTTCAGCATCGGCCACTTCCACGCCCACGCCGCCATTCTCTGCATTCAATTCATCATCCAAGATACAGACTGGCACCGGTGGTCCAGTTTCAGCCTCTTTCAACACATCCACGTCGATAACATCTCTCTTCGTCTCTTCGGAACAAGCTTCTACGTTGACCCAACCTGTGGAAACTCCGTGGCCTACGCTCTGGCATTCAACTGGTTTCCCCACCTCGGTGACCAGCTCCCAAACTTACTCACCCAACTCGTCCTCGTTGAGAACTTCTTCCGTTGACTTCTCGGTGTCCGCAAGTTCCTTCATAGTAGTCCCTTCTATCGTCACTCTCAGCGCCAATGGAACCGTTCGGTTGACAACTCTCTCGCATACTCTACAAGCCACTGTCGGATGGAATAGCACACAATCAGGTGCTCCGGTCACAGGCATTCAGACCACACTTGGCACGGGCGTCTCTACCAGCGTCTTAATAAGCTCTCGAGTC